GCTGTGCCATGGCCAGGGCACTGCTCCTCCTGGATTTGTGTCCTACACTGGGCTAAAAGTTGACTCTGCAAATACCTCCAGCCTCCCCCAAGCTCCTACTCAGCCCTGGGCAGCCCCAGGGTGCTGCACAGAGCCAGGAAAAGCAGCTCAGCAGCTTTTGCCAGACTGGAATAGCCATGGAGCAGAAGGCAGAGGTGTTGCCACACCAGAGGGACAGGAGGGTGTCACAGTCACCTCAATCCCTTGGGCAGGAGCTGAAGCTCTGCCAGATTTCTTATCTGGATTTCTCAACCTTTCCCAATTCCTGATTAGTCCTTGCAAGTGCAACTCCCCCAGGTCCAGCCCCAGGCTCACATAGCTTGGGTTTCCTCAGGATAAACCTCTCCTGAACTACTCAACCTACTGAATTGACCATTTCAAGTGCTTTCATAGAGAGCCAAGTCCTTGAGTCTGTGTTGTCAACAGAGAATCACACACCAAGTGCTCAGAAAAGAAACCAACCCAACCCAACCTGCTTTGTTTGCTCCAAGATCCTTGGAAGAAAGAGCTTCAGAGCAACCTCTCAACCTCCAACCCTCTTTTACCCCATCCAGAACCCTGCTCTTCTCAAAAATTCATTGCTTAAACCTAAGGAACAAACAAGTTTTTATTTCATTTACAGCCTGAATGAAGAAACTTTGTGTTTGGAGAGCTGAATTTATAATAATAAAATCCAAATGGCCAAACCAACTGTGGCTGAAGGTTTGGTTCTTCACCACCCCAAAGCACAGGAGGTGTTGGTAAGTCTCTGGTTGTGCCAGGGAGTTGGGGGAGAATGTAGTGCTCAGGGAACAAGAGGCTAGGACACCTCTGGAGTTGGATAAACTCCCCCTGCACCTCTCAGGCTTTGATTCCATGCTCCACTCTGATCCAGAAGGCAAACAGGAGGCACTGGTTGCAATGTCAGTTGCAGGTCAGACTGGTGAGAACATCACAACTTGGTTTTGCAGGGAGTAATCAGCCTGACTGAACAACTCCCCCAAGGGTTGGCTTGGATACATCCCTTGGAGCTGGAATTCAAACAGACACTAAAGACAAACAACAAACTTCATGTTTGGGTAGCAAATCTGCTGTTAGACCAAATCCACACTCCTTGGAATGGGGCAAGAGGGCTGAACATTTTCTATGGCATCTTTGGTGCTGCCTTTCCTTCCACTGAGCATCTCCTCACCTGCTCTGTCCTCCCCTAAAACCACCCCTGGTGTGGGGACACCTGAAGGGGCTCCAGGGCTTCCTTCTGGGTGAAGATGGTGCTGTGGCTTCAAGCAGTCATACAACATCAGGAAAAGAAGAGATTGCTAATGCAGTTTCAGAGCATTTCACAGTTAGAAGTACAATGGGTTTGCCAAAATATTGGCCCAAAGCAGTCTCAGTAGTAAGGTCTTCGTGGGTTGTTCTGCAGAGGAGAGAAAACAGCATCAGAACTGGGGTTTTCATAGAATTTTAGGGGTTGCAATGGACCTTACAGATCATCTAGTTCAACCCCCTGGGTCTGTCCCTGTCCTGTCTCTATTCCATCCTTCCCAGGGGGTTTATCCCAGTCCCTGTCCCACCTTTCCCAGTGGATTTATCCCAGTGCCTGTACCATCCTTCCCAGTGGGTCTGTCCCTGTCCTTGTGACACCCTTCCCTGTGCTTTTATCCCAGTCCCTGTCCCTGTCCTACCCTTCCCAGTGGATTTCTCCCTGTCCCTGCCCCATCCTTCCCAGTGGGTGTGTCCTTGTCCTTGTGACACCCTTCCCAGTGGATTTATCCCTGTCCCTATCCCTGTCCCACCCTTCTTCTCTGTGGATTTATCCCAGTCCCTGTCCCTATCCTACGCTTCCCTGTGGATTTATCCCAGTCCCTGTCCCACCCTTCCCTCTGGATTTCTCCCTGTCCCAGCCTCCCCCCGGATTTCTGGGGCTCACCAGGGGGTTGGGGCGGAAGCGATACGCAAGCATCATGCGCTTGCGGAAAGCTTCGTACTCATCATCCTCCTTGGTGAGCTCGGCAGGGCGGTCGATGCCAAAACCTGCCCCGTCCACAGCTGTGGTTCCCCTGGGTGGGAAGGAGGAAAGGCAGGTCAGTAGCTGGGACAGATCATGGAATCAGAACCAAAAAGGTTGGAAGAGACTTCCAAGATCGTCAAGTCCAACCCTTGTCGCTGCTCTGACCCCTCAACCATAGAATCATCAAGGATGGAAGAGACCTCCAAGATTATCAAGTCCAATCCTTAACCTGTCACTGCTCTAATCCCTAAACAAGGACACCAAGGGACAAGGAATGGTTAAACCACTCGATTTTCTCCTGCCCCTTCACTCCAGAACAGCCCAAAGTGGCACCAACTCCTTTCCATCTCCAGCAGCACCTTCTGATCAATGCCAGGAGCATTAGAGATGGTTCAGCCCAGTGATGGCACATTCTGCCTTCCCTCTGGGGTTCTGAGCCTGCCTCTTTCCACAGGACTCCTTGGAGCCAACAACCACAGTTCCAGGGAGCTGATCTTGTGGTAGAGGAGCAGAAAAACTTTGCAGAGAGATTTTCTGCTGCACAGTAATCTTCTTTCTCAAAGGATCCCCCACTAAAACCCAACTCAGAGTTATCTCCTACCCCCAATATTTGCTTTTGAAGCCCAACATATGTCCCCAACAGCTGAAGCACCTAAAAAGAGATGCACATTTATTTTTGGCTACGACTCTCAAAGCTTTGTCATACAGCAAGTGTGAGGAAATCAGAGCAGTGCTGAGCAGGAGAGTGATGTCAAGGCTTGCAGGATCACACACAGCTCTGAGCTGGACTGAGACATCCTTCACACACAGCTCTGCCTGTGTTTGTCACTGTTCTTTAATACTTCAATACATTTATGACTTTAAAGACTTAATCCTCACATGCCCTGGGAGAGGGAGGAGCACACAAGGATCTCTAGCAGGGAAGGCACCTCACTATGCAAAGGGAGATTAGAAACAAAGTGTTTGTGGCTCAGCCCAGAACTCCTGCCTGAGATAAAGTAGCAAACCCAAGTTTTGGAGAGGGGAGAGAAACCAAAGAACTCAGGAGTTTCCTCCTGTGCTGTTGAGGTGATGAATTACAGCCACACTCTGCTTGCAGCAGGCAGGGCAGGAGCATCAATTACCAACCCAAGAGGGAAGGACTAAATCAATAGGAGGAGAACTCTGCTTACTTGCTGACAGGGTTTTTAATCCCCTGCCCATCTGATCCCAGCCCCTCTCCTTCCTTCCAGCCCATCTTCATCAGCATCTGGTAGCCAATGTTCTCCACGGTCAGTTTGAACTCTTTGTATTCAGAGTAATCTGGTTCACGTCCTTCCTGCAGGCACAGAAGGCACTGGGGGTTAGTTGGCATTTTGTGGGGCAGGGGAGGAGCAAAAAAACCAGCTTCAGTCCCCCAGAGTTAGGATTTGGCACCCACAGCCTCCTTGGGGCACCCACAGCTTCCCTGGGCAACCTGTGCCAGTGTCTCACCACGAAGGAGCTTAAAGCTCTCTCCCTAATATCCAGTCTGAATTTCTCCTCCTTTAGTTTGACCCAGAGCTGGGATTGCAGCTCTGCAGCATCACAGAGAAGGACCCAGAGCCCTGCACAGCCCCAGTGTGTGCAAGGAGCAGGGACTGGTGCTGGGAGATTAGGCTGAGAAATCTTTAGCTCCTGAATTTCAAGTTGCTCACTGGCTCGAGCTTCAGATCCAGTTCTTATTTAAGCCCAAATCTCCAGGGAACATCAGGCCCCATGCTGGATACAGGGAAAAAGGGAAGGCTGTGCCAGCATCGAGGAGTTCTGTGGGTTAGGAAGAATTGGCAGGTACTGAAGTGCTTTGCATAAGCTTTTTGGTAGGTTTATAATGTCACTTTGCTGCAATCATCTGGATACAAATTCTAATTTCCTTGAGCTTGGCAGCAGCAACTACTTAGCCCAAACAGCTCCCAAACAAACAGTGGGAGGTCTTGGCTGGAATTCCAGAGAAGCCCCAAAGCACTGAATCCCAGACTGGTTTGGGTTGGAAGGAGCTTAAAGCTCATCCAGTCCCACCCCATGCCCTGGGCAGGGACACCTTCCACTAGCCCAGGGTGCTCCAAGTCCCATCCCTGAACATTTCCAGGGATGGAACAGCCACAGCTTCTCTGGACAACCTGTGCCAGAGCCTCAGCACCTCCCAGGGAGGAATTCTTTCCCAAATACTGTCCATTCCATGACTTGCAGAGCCATTTCTCTGCAGAGTGGACACCAAGGCCTTGTGTCCTCCAGTGACAACTCCCTGTGCAGGGTCAGAGCCCCTGGAGGTCACTCACTGCTGGGGGAAAGGGCTGAGAACACTCAGGATCTGCTGTGGGCTAAGCCTGAGGCATCACCACCACCCTGGGAAGTCCCTGCTAAGTCACCTTCAATGCCTTGAAGGTCTCCATGAACTTCTCCAGCTCGTCAGGAGGGAGGAAATCGCCGATGAAGTGTTTCCCTCTGCCCATCTGGGTCAGCTGCTCAGCCCACTCTGCCAGGGACAGGAGACAACAGCAACAACATAAGAACTCAGTGTTCTTTGGGGTTTCAGAGAGTTTATGAGGCACAAAGTCTCACAAAAACACACAGTAATCATAGGATCATCAAGGCTGGAGGAGATCTCTAAGATCATCAAGTCCAACCATTAACCTGTCACTGCTGGAACCTCTAAACCCTAAACCAGATCCTCCAGTGCCACATCCAGAGGTCTTTTGAACACCTCCAGGGATGGTGACTCCACTCCCTTCCTGGACAATATCCCAGTGCCTGAACACCCTCTCAGGGAAAAGATTTTTCCTAACTTCCAATCTGACTCTGCCCTGGCTCAGCTCAAGGCCATTCCCTCTAGTCCTCTCCCTGAGGCCATGGCAGGAGAGACATCTCCAACCTCTCTCCAACCCTGGCAGGAGTTGGAGAGAGTCACGAGGTCACCCCTGAGGCTTTTCTCAAGGCTGAACAAACCCAACTCCCTCAGCCTTTCCTTGTAGGACACAGTTATCATCTCCCCTCAGTGCAAAGTGACCCTTCAACCCCCAAGCCAAGACAGTGTGGGATTCTCCCTCAGGGTGAGCAGGAGGTTGACATGAGCTCCCTCACCTCGTGTCTTGTCCATCTCCATGCGCCTGAGCTGGTGCTCCCACGTGCCCAGCTCACTGTCCACCTCCTCATCGCTGTCATAGCCGTGTTGGTGCTGCTGAATGGCCTTTTCCCACATCATCTGCATCTCCTGCATGGCTCGTTTGTGCTTCATGATCATATCATACATCTGCTGCATCTGAGGGAACCACACCATGGGATGGAAGGAGCTGAAAGGTCATCGTGTTCCACCCCAACACAGGCAGGGCCACCTCCCACCAGCCCAGGGTGCTCCAAGCCTCATCCAACTTGGCCTGGAACACTTCCAGGGATGAGAGGAGATGGGAGAGGTCACTGGGTGAGCTCTGCGCTCTGTGCAGAGCTTCCAGCTGCTCCAGTTGCTGCAGCAAACAGGTTCTGGCAGCCACAACCCCCACCAGGCAGAGCTGGTGCCTGATCTCACATCAAGCAGGAGGTGATTATGTGCTGTTCCTCTGCCACAGGCCCCAGGATGTCCCCCCTGAGTGCTACTGCCACCTCACACAGCTCCACCACCACCACCCTGACCTTCTGTCAAGAGCCAGTTGAGCTCCCACTGCCCCCAGAACCTGCAGGAACCCACTGAGCTCCTCCCAGGGCTGAGCAATCCATCACCAGCTGCAGCTGTGACATCCCAGAGCTTATGGATCTGGGGGTTAGGGTGTGAGGACAACAGTTGTTTGCCTTCAAACCCATTCCCCAAGCACCTGTGGTGATGTGTTCAGCACAAAACCCAAGGACTTGTTTGTGGCCACTGCTATCTCCACCTCCCCTGCAACAAAACATGGATTTGGGAAACATTTTAAGGCATTTTACCTCCTGCTGCTCCTTCAGCTGCTTCTTCTGGGCTTCTGAGAGCTCTGTCACACCCACCAGACCAACTGGTTTTCCTTTCTCATAGCCAAGACCCTTCAGGTCCTGAACTGTAACAAACACATGTTGAAGACTTAGAAAAATCTGAGACAGCTGTTGAGAGCAGAGAAATCCAATCCCAGAGTGGTTTGGCTTGGAAAGAACTTAAGGATCAGCCAATTCCCATGGGCAGGGACATCTCCCACCAGTCCAGATTGCTCCAAGCCCTGTCCAACCTGGCCTGGAACACTTCCAGGGATGGAACAGCCACAGCTGCTCTGGGAATTCCATCCCAGCTCCTCAGCACTCTCACAGGGAGGAATTCCTTCCCACTATCCCATCTAACCCTACTCTCTGTCAGCATGAAGCCATTCCCTGTGTCCTGGCACTCCATCCCTAGGGAATAGTCTCTCTCCATGTTTCTTGCACTTCCTTCAGGCATTGGAAAGCCACAATTAGGTCAGCCCAAAGCTTCTCTTCCCAAGTGGAAGTGCAAAGAAAGGAGATTGGAAACTGCAATCTCCAGGCCCAGGAGCAGCACAGCCAACAGAGGAACTGGCTCTCCTTTGGGAAGCTCCTCCTTTTCCATTCTTTCTGTTGGTTTCTCAGAGATTCACCTATCTGGGCAGGGCAGTGAGTGACTTCCAGTGACCACATGGAGCTCTGAGGGCAAGGGAGGGGAAAAGGAATCCTATTTTCCCTTGCTGCAGCGTGAAGGGAAGTAACACAAACACTGCTGGGGTTGCAAAAAACGAGATTTACACCAGAGATTGCCTTGCAAACTTGGTTCAGACCTATCCAGCAGCTCCTCTCTGAGCTAAGACGCCAAGAGTGAAATATTGAGGGATTAAAAGCAGCCACACAAGCACACTTGAAAGCTCCTTGCATTTTTCACTACAAGGAGAGAGATCTCTTCCTAATGAGTGCAAACCCCTCCGTGTGAGAGCCAGGCCAACCTCCAGCTAAACGATGCTTCATTCATTATTCATCATCTATTAATTATGAAGCCCAATTAGAACAGGATCATTGTTCATGACACCAAATGTCTACACAGCATGGTAATTAGGCCCCAGGGGTCATCTCCCTTCCTCTTCTTCCCACTCAGGGCAACGGAGCTGAGCACTCTGATCTCTCCTCCCTCTTTTTCCATAGGCTTTGGGCTGAGCACTCTGTGAGCTCCAAGTGGTTTCCTTCACTCCAGGCTCCTGAGGAGAGCAGAAAGCAGCTGAGCCACCCTCCCTCCCACAGCCTCTGCACACTCCTAGTGTTACATAAAGCACTGCAAGAGGCTTTCCAAGGGGAGAGGAGCAAGGAACTGGGATGTGCACTGTCAGCTCGCAAGGAATGAGAGCAAATAGCAGAATAAACCTAGTTATTGCTGCTGACCAGGCTGATTCCTGCCTGGGAGAGCAGGGAGAGCTGCAAAGTTTTACTAGATGCGCTAGGTGTGCTCCAGGGAAGGACCTGGCCCCACATGTTATGTGAGCCAGGAGCACTCAGGCATCACCTCCTGCTTCAGGGCATGGGAAAGCTTTCCCTGAATGCTCTGAGGAAGGCTCTGCCCTTCACAGAGGTCAGCAGAGAGCTGAAGTGCAGGAACACCCAGGCTAAGAGCCAGCTCTGGCTCCAGAGGCCCCAGAGGCAGTGCCTTGCCAGCATTTACAACCACCTCAAAGCACAAAGATGAGGCTCAGCATCCTCTTCTCCTGCCCAGAAAGCAGTTGCCACTGCTCCTTCTCTCCCCCAAACCACACCTGAGCTCTGTGGCTGCTCTGCTGAGGCTTTGCAGGCTCAAAGGCACTGCAGGAATTCAGTTCTGGGAAGGTGTTTTTATGTGCTTGGCCCAAAGTTAGCACAGCACAAAAGTTGTCAGAAGAAAGCAAAGCCACAATCACAGGTGGAAGAGTTTCCACCAGTAATATCCATGAATTTGCATAGAAATAGATAAGATTTCCAAGTTGTTCATGCTGTTCTGGCACCGAACACTGAGCAGGAGATAAGGAGTTGCTGCTTTGGTCTCGTGTTCAGCTTTATGTGCTTGGCCCAAAGTTAGCACAGCACAAAAGTTGTCAGAAGAAAGCAAAGCCACAATCACAGGTGGAAGAGTTTCCACCAGTAATATCCATGAATTTGCATAGAAATAGATAAGATTTCCAAGTTGTTCATGCTGTTCTGGCACCGAACACTGAGCAGGAGATAAGGAGTTGCTGCTTTGGTCTCGTGTTCAGCTCAGCAGACCTGGAATGACATCAGCTTTGCCCACAGGGTTAATGGTGCAGTGTGTCTGCAGCATTGGCAGAGCAGCACCTGAAGCTTTATCCCTTTCCCAGATGCCTGGAGAGGAGTTGGTAGAGGAGCAGGGAACGACCTTTAAGGACAGCAGGAGAAATCCCAGCACAGAAGAGCCTTTTTTTTTTCTTTTTCCTAGAGATCTTCATTCAAACTCATCACAAGATCTGACTCACGTCAAACTAAAGACCCAAACCAGCCCAATACTAGGTTCAGAAAACTCTGGTGACAGGCAGTAATTTGCCACTAGCCCCCAGAGTTCACTAATCACAGCTCTGGCTCAGCTCTGCAGATGTGTCAGTCCCTGCAGCACAGCAGGGAAAAGTTTGGATAACAAGATATTCAACATCAGCCTTATTCCTGTCCTAAAGAGAAACACTTTCTCCTCTCCAGGATCCTGACTGATCACTGAGAGTCACCAGAGAAGGAATCAGAGTAGTTCTCCATCAAATCCCAAACAATTGCTCAGGATAAAGGACTAAGACACAGCTATTTAGGTCTCTAACTCCCCTTGCACAGGAGCAGGGGTGGAATTTGGGATTCTCTTGCCCTGTCAGCTTGAGGATGTTCATTCCACAGAGGGATTAGTTCAGCTGAACTGGTAACAGCACTGAATCCTTCCCCCTGCAGAGCATTAAGGGCTGATTTGCTATGCCTGGCAGAGTGGTTTGCTGTCCTTTTCTTCTGCCTGACACAAAGCCCTGCAGAAAAGGAGCAGGAACACCCTGAGCATGTCCTAAAGGAGCCAGGGGAGATTCCAGCACACTGGAATGAGCACATGGATAGCCCTGCAGTCCCCCCACTGCAGCAGGAGGTATTGGGATGGAATCTGATGTGTTTTGGGAGCACCTGCCCAGCTGCAGCTTCAAAGCTTCGTTACCATCTGCAGGAAAAAAAAAATTACTCCAGAAGTAGAAAATCTGGGAAGAATTTTCCAGCTGATTTGTGCCCTCAAGGATCAGCAATTCAAGGGCAAAGGGATGCAGCAGCAGAGTGGTGTCTGGTCCTGCACATGGGAGGTGTAGAGCCAGGACAGGGTTAGCAGAGGCAAATTTCCACTTGCATTTGAGTGCTGGATTGGGACATAGAGTCCTTCCCTTCCTTCTCCCCTGACCTCTGCCCATCCATCCAACCCTACATCCCACACTGCCCAATCCAACCATGGAGCTGCTGGAGCTCTGACCTGCCCAGCCTGAGCACGTGTGGCATTCCCTGTGCTCTCACCCTGCAGCTCCCCAAATCAGAGCTTTATTCTCTCCCTTGTCCCACTCTGTTCTGCTTTTATTTTTTTGGAAAGGCCTTTATTGGCCAGGGATTTATTGCCTTTTCCTGTGGCTTCTGTGAGCAATAAGTTTGCTTGGTGGTTTCTCTTTCTTCTTAGCTGTTTCCCATCCCACACTAATTGGGCAAAGGGTTCAAAATGCCATTTGCAATGTCTGTGTTCACCTGTTGTCCTCAAGTGATTCCACTTTTGTGTTCCCCTCTGCCTAATTCCTGCTCTGCACAGGTTGCTGCCAGAGTTCAACCTCCAGAGCTCCCCACAAGTGCCTCCACTGGAAGAATAATCCTCCTGCACTTGGCTAGAGCTGTTCCCCTGGGGTGAGCCTGGCAGGAGGAGCAGCACAAGCTGCTGAGTGAACCTTGACTGAAAGCACATCAACTGAAACAGGTAAGAATTCAAAGTTCTACTCGAGCCCAGCAGCACTCAGGGAACAGCTCTTCCCATTAACCCTCGGAGCACTTAGGGATGCTAAGTGTGAAATCAAATCCCACAATGGTTTGGGCTGGAAGTGCTGCCCAGGGATTTTCTCCTAGCACAGGGAATGAGCAGAGTTCAAGCTCTGAGATTTGTTTTCTGGTAGATTTTCCTCCTGGAGTGCAATAGCCCCAAGCAGTGGAGAGGCCAAGGCTGTGATGAGCTGTAGCACAGCAGGATTTAGAGATAACTGGGGGATGATAAGATGCAATCCCTGGTGTCAGGGAGATAAAGTGGGTTATCTGGGATTCCACCCAGGGAGGAGTTAGCTGCTGGACCCAGCTGAAAGGCAACCAAGGAGATACAACAGGAGATAAACCTCCCTGTGCTTTCCACTTCCCAATCCAGCTGTGCCCAGGCAAGGGAACTCCCCAGGAAAACCAGTTACTCCCCACAACACACATCCCCACTAACCTGAGAGGGGGGAGGGGGAATCCAGCTGCTGCACCAGCTGTGGGAGAGGCAATTCCACCTTGTCTTCCTCTGGGCCCCACCTGCTCTTCCTCTTCTTTTTGGTGGTGCCTGGAGTAGCAGCTGTGGTGTTGGCAGGAGTGGGGGGAGTGAGCTCCAGGGGGGTGGTGGAGGAGGATGGGGAAGGTGAGGGGGGTGCTGAGGGCACTGGCAGGGCTGGGGGCACTGGCAGGGGCAAGGGCAGAGGGGAGGGAATGGGCAAGGGCAGAGGGGAAGGAAGGGGCAAGGGCAGAGGCAGAGGGGAGGGCAGAGGCAGGGGAGAGGGCAGGGGCAAGGGCAGGGGCAGAGGTAGAGGGGAGGGCAGGGGCAAAGGCAGAGATGGCAAGCACAGAGGTGATGGAGATGCCTCCGGGCTGCTTTTCCTTTTCAAGCTGTTCTCCACAGGCAAAGGGGCACACACAGGGCTGGATTTGGCCCTTCTGAACTCCTCCAGCTTCTGCCTGTAGTACTTGTAGCCTTTGCTGTTTGGCTCATATAAAAACCTGAAAAACGAAGGACGAGAGTTGAGCTGAGACAGTTGTACACGAGGGTTGAACCCAGTATGGCCTTTCCCTTCCTGCAGTGCCTTCCCACACACTTCCAGCTCTCCAGCACCATCCCGTGTGTGCCTGCAGCCAGTGCAGGATATCTGGGATCAGGGAATGTGTCTTCAGTGCTAAATAAACAGACCTAACCAGGTGCAGGTCACACTGGTGGAAAGGCAAAATCCTCCCTAGGAATTCACCTGTTTCCAGCACAGGCTTGGAAACACCCCCAAGGGCTCAACAACGTGTTGTGTTTCAACTCAGAGAAGAAAACAAACAGGTCTTTCCAATGGGAATGCCAAATCCCTGCCCAAGGAAACTGCTCCCAAGCTCTCTGTTCCAGTTGGAAGAACTGCCATTCCCAACCTGCTTAACTACCCCACGAGGCTCCTTCTGCTCCCTCAGCCTCAAAGCTCCTGGATTTATGTGCTAACTGCCAGAAATAGGCATCTCTGGCCTGCTGGGGAGAATAGAAGTCCTGAGGATCTGTGGGAAAAGCAGGAACAATCCTCAGCCTAGGAGCTAGGCAAGGAAATCATCAACACATGTTGGTTACAAACACGTTGAGGTTTTGGGCTCACTCCAAACGTTTCACAGAGAAAATGCGTCTGTTCCCAACTCCTCCAAAATCTTTCCTTTTTTTGGGATCTGGTAACACTTGAGGGAGGTTAAATCCACTCCTCAGGATCCTCAGGATAGTGCCTGATCCAAGGAAAGGCAGAGCTGATAGGTCTTGGCCATCCACGGCCACAAACAGCTCTGTGAGCTGCTGGAAAATCCCCTAAATGTGTTTTTTTCATCCCTCCCTTTCAACACCAGCATCAAGGATTGCTCCAGGACCTGGCAGAGTGCAGGATAGGACTTTTCCCTATGGAAAAGCTGCTGGAATCCTAACAGAGAAGATGTGTTTCACCTGCCCACGCTCAGGTGGCACCACAAAGGTGTTTTTCAGTCAATAATGAAGCAGCTCAGGCATTGGCACATCTGTCTGAGGCAATTCCCAGCTCCAAGGGAGGATTCCAGAGGGCCAATAAAATGTCCAAATAGCAGCAACAAACTAAGGGTTGTCTTGTCTTCCAGGGAACACTCCAAAGTGTTTGTGAGAGTGGAAAATGAACTGAGGATGAGACCAAGGGGAGGCATTAACCAGATGTCAGGGAACAACCCACACCTGAAAGGCTGGAAAAGTGATTCCAGAGGGGCACCTAAAGGTCCTTCCCCCACTGAAGGGAACAGGAATTCTACCTGCACATCAGTGAGGATGCTGGAAAGGAAATTAATTGGCCAGGAGTGGTGGATGGAGCTCACAGCAAACACAGCTCCAGGGAACAGTGGCAAGGTTGGAATGATCCCAAGAAAACAGGTGAGGAGGGGGAGGAGGTTGTACATTTATTTTGGGAAGAGCATTTTTCTCTCTCTGTGCCTCAATTTAAACTGTGAATCATGGAATGATTTGTATGGGAGGACCTTAAGGATCATCCAGTGTCACCTCCTGCCATGGGCAGGGACACCTTCCTCTAGCCCAGGGTGCTCCAAGCCCCATCCTTGAACAATTCCAGGGATGGAACAGCCACAGCTTCTCTGGGCAACCTGTGCCAGTGCCTCAGCACCTCCCAGGGAATAATTCCTTCCCAAATACCCATTTAACCTTAATCTCTGGCAGTGTGAAACCACTCCCTATGTTCTGTCCCTCCAGAGCTTGTCCCAAATCTTTCTTACACCTCCTTCAGGCACTGAAAGGCCACAAACATCACCTTGAAGCTTCTCTGAACACCTCCAATCCTCTCCCAGCACATCTCTCCATCTCTAACCCCCTTGGTACCTCCTTGGCCTCATCACATCACCCACCAGAGCTGTATCCTTAGCATCCCAGGTTTGCCATGAGCTTGGCTGCTATTTCCCCTTAAAAAAAAAACCCTCCCAAAGGAGGTTTAAGCTGTACCTGAAAGCAGGGTTCTCTCTGTTGTTCTGCAGGGCAATAGCCTCCACCTCTGGCCCTCCAGCAGCGATGAACCTGGCCAGGGTCTCTGCAGAGTTCCTGGTCTCCTCGTCGGCTGGGGGTGAAACTTTAAGCAGCTGTCAGTACTGGGCTCAACTCACCCAAGCAACAGTCAAAACCTATCTGGTCTAAGAACCCCAAGAGCAGAATAAGGGCAAAAGGTCGAGTTTTAATGGTTTAGAACACACACACACACACACACACACACACACAAACAGTTTAGAGCACGCACAAAAAATAAAAACCACATTTAGCTTGGCTAAGGTTCTGTGAGAGCTTTGTGGTACTGCACATAGAGCTGCTTCTTAACACTCTGAGCAGCTTTTGGCTCCCAAAGGGGACACATTTCTCTCTGCTGCACAGGAATGCATTTCTTCCCTGTGTCAGGACCTTTTCCATAGGGTTATAGTACTCAGAATCACCCCTAGTTAAGGACTTGGCTTTTTTTCCCTATGTCAGGACCTTCTCCATAGGGTTATGGTACTTAGAATTCTCTCTAGTTACAGATTCTCCATTTCTTCTCTGTTTCAGGCCCTTTCCCATAAGGTTCCAGGACTCTGAATCATCTCTAAGTAAAGATTTTTCATTTCTTCCCTGTGCCAGGCCCTTTTCCATAGGGTTATAGTACTCAGAATCATCTCTAGTTAAGGACTCGGGGTTTTTCCCCCCTGTGTCAGGACCTTTTCCATAGGGTTATAGTACTCAGAATCATCTCTAGTTAAGGACTTGGCATTTTCCCCTGTTTCAGGCTCTTTTCCATAGGGTTACAACACTCAGAATCATCTCTAGGTAAAGATTCTTCATTTCTCCCATTTCAGGCCAGACACTTGAAGTGTTTTGGAAGGAAAATCTTCTTCCAAAGCCTTTTAAATAGAGCATGGAATGCTGTGGGCTTGGAAAACAACCAATTTGGGCACAAGGATTTGCTTCCATCCTAGTGGTTTGATCACCAATTCTTTGATTTGGAAATATGATTGACAGGCAGCAAATTAACAGCTAAATATTCACCCCAAGCTCCTCCAGGACAGAACTAAGACAGTGACACACAACAAATAAGTCACATTTCACTTCTGCAGTTCCCATTCCCCAGCTCCCAGTGGGAATTACCTTTCTGGGAAGAAGATGCCTGAGAACTTTGATTCTCTTTCCTTATCTCTGCCACTTTCTTTCTGTAGTAAAGGAATTCTCTGCTGTTCTTATCATGCAAAAACCTAGTGGAGACGGAAGGGGGAAAAAAAGAGAAAAAAAACAACAACATGGATCAGAAATAATGAGACAAATATTGACACTCTGGGATAGAAATGGAAAATAGATAAATTACTCATAATCCACTGAAAATGTGGATTAGGAAGTGTTTAGGGACACCTTCCACCAGCTCAGGTTGCTCCAAGTCTGCTCCACCCTCATCTTGGACACTCCCACGGATGAAGCAGCCACAGCCTCTCTGGGAATTCCATCCCAGCCCCTCACCACCCTCCCAGGGAAGAATTCCTTCCCAACATCCATCTCCCCATACCCTGTGGCACCTGTACCACCTCACCCCCCTTAGAGGAAAGAACAAAGCCTGAACAACCCAAACTCTGAGGCCAAACCACAAATCATCAACACAAAGTCTAGGGAGCATTTTTTTTTCTCCTGGCAGAGGATTTGGCAGCCCAGAGCTGCCCCAGACTTACGAAAAAGCAGGATTATCCTTGTAGTCCTCCATAGCGACCTTCTCTAACTGGGGTCCCCCTTCAGCCACGAACCTAGCCAGCTTTTCCACCACCTGCCGGGCCTCAGCGTCCTCTGGGGGTAAAACTTTAAGCAGCTGTCAGTACTGGGGTTCAACTCACACACCAAACAGGCAACAGGCACATTACTGCTAAAGACCACAGAGGCAGACAAAGGCAGAACGGGAATGGGAAGAGAGAGGGTGAAATGGGGGAGCCAGTCGGACACAGCTGTAGAAATCACAATCCCCAACTCTACCTGGCAACTTCTGCACTGCCCTAAGAGCTGTTCAGATTGTTTAGGTGGTTGTTACAAGGAAAAAAAAGGCCTAAATTTGGTTCGTAGGATTCCAGAATGGGTTGGGTTGGAAGGAGCTTAAAGCTCATCTCATCCCATCTCATCTCATCCCATCTCATCCCATCCCATCCTACCCTCTGCCATGGGCAGGGACATCTCCCACCAGTCCAGGTTGCTCCAAGCCCTGTCCAACCTTGGAACATTCCCAGGGATGGAGCAGTCACAGCTGCTCTGGGAATTCCATTCCAGCCCCTCACCACCCTCCCAGGGAAGAATTCCTTCCCAACATCCATCTCCCCATACCCTGTGGCACCTGTACCACCTCACCCCCCTTAGAGGAAAGAACAAAGCCTGAACAACCCAAACTCTGAGGCCAAACCACAAATCATCAACACAAAGTCTAGGGAGCATTTTTTTTTCTCCTGGCAGAGGATTTGGCAGCCCAGAGCTGCCCCAGACTTACGAAAAAGCAGGATTATCCTTGTAGTCCTCCATAGCGACCTTCTCTAACTGGGGTCCCCCTTCAGCCACGAACCTAGCCAGCTTTTCCACCACCTGCCGGGCCTCAGCGTCCTCTGGGGGTAAAACTTTAAGCAGCTGTCAGTACTGGGGTTCAACTCACACACCAAACAGGCAACAGGCACATTACTGCTAAAGACCACAGAGGCAGACAAAGGCAGAACGGGAATGGGAAGAGAGAGGGTGAAATGGGGGAGCCAGTCGGACACAGCTGTAGAAATCACAATCCCCAACTCTACCTGGCAACTTCTGCACTGCCCTAAGAGCTGTTCAGATTGTTTAGGTGGTTGTTACAAGGAAAAAAAAGGCCTAAATTTGGTTCGTAGGATTCCAGAATGGGTTGGGTTGGAAGGAGCTTAAAGCTCATCTCATCCCATCTCATCTCATCCCATCTCATCCCATCCCATCCTACCCTCTGCCATGGGCAGGGACATCTCCCACCAGTCCAGGTTGCTCCAAGCCCTGTCCAACCTTGGAACATTCCCAGGGATGGAGCAGTCACAGCTGCTCTGGGAATTCCATTCCAGCCCCTCACCACCCTCCCAGGGAGGAATTTCTTCCCAATATCCCATCTGTCCCTGCCTTCTGGCAGTGGGAAACTATTCCCTGTGTCCTCCATCCCTTGTCCAGGTCCCTCTCCAGCTCTCCTGGAGCCCCTTGACGCACTGGAAGGGGCTCTGAGGTCTCCCTGGAGCTTCTCTTCTCCTGGCCTGGAACACTCCCAGAGAGCCACAGCCTCCCTGGGAATTCCATCCCACCCCCTTATCACCCTCCCAGGGAGGAATTCCTTCCCAATATCCCATCCAACCCTACACCCTGTCAGCATGAAGCTATTTCTCCCTGTCCTGTCCCTCCAGGCCCTTGGGAATAGTCTCTCTCTATGTTTCTTGTAGCTCCTTCAGGTACAGAAAGGTCATAATTAGGTCAGCCCAAACCTTCTCTTCCCAAGTGGAGGTGCAAGGAGCAGCAGAGATGCTGCAGGGTGGGAGCTGGAGCCTTTTCCAGTGGTTTGTATGGAATCATGGAATCATTTGGGTTGGAAGGAGTTCAAACCCCAACGAATCCCCCCCCTGCCATGAGCAGGGACACCTTCCACCAGCCCAGGTTGCTCCAAGTCTCAATCCAACCAGGGATTGGGCAGCCACAACCTCCACCCCAGTTTGGAGTTTCAACTCAGTTGACCTGAATTCAATCCAACCTGAATGGGGATGTCATTTCCTTCTGCTGATTCCACACAAACCCAACAGGGAAGCACAGGGATTTGGTTTGAAGCACTACATTACTCACTGGTGATTCCAGATCCCAATTCCCAAGCCATTCTCTGTCCCAGCCCATGGAGACAGACTGTGCAGCTGGAACTCTTCCATGTCTGGCTCCAACAAAGTCTATTTGGCTTCTGTGCCAGGAAAGAATCCCCCAAACTCCAGCAGGGATGGCAGAGCCATGTGGGACACGGTGACGTTTGGGGAGAGCTCTGAGCACAGAGCAGAGTCTCCCACTCTGCCCACACCTCACCAGCCCTTAAAGGAAAGCTCCAAACCCACCTCCTCTCTGCTCAGCTATTCCTCCACTGCCTTTCACCCTCAAACTCAAAATTCCCAGGATTCTGCTCTCCCAAATCCCACCAGAAATAGCTTGGGAAACACAGAACGGCATCAATCATGTGCCAAAGCTCAGTGTGGCTTCCAACCTCAGTTTATCCTTCATTAATACAGACAAAATATTGCCAATTATGAAGCAAATCTGCCTTGGGGCTTCCTGGCCTGAGTTCTGGAGATAAACCTGGAGAGGTGCTGCAATATTCCTGGGTTTCTATCCCATTCCTTGGGGTTTATCTCACTTCAAGCACCTAAAATTGAGATTTGCCACTGAAACTTGGCAGGAACTTGGAATTTACCTGCTCACAGTTCCTTGCTGGACATGTAGTTCAGTTATTAGCCCACAGAATTGTCCCCAAACTGAGGAATTCTCATTTTTCTCTCCCTTCAAACCCCTAAAATCCCATTTAAAATCCCATTATGCCTCTTTTTCTGGGAGCTCAGCTGCACAGATCCCAGTTGTTCTGAGCAGCAAACCACCAAGCTCCATTAGGAGCAGAACATTTCCCTTCTCTCCATGCTGTTTTCACAGGTTAGAGGCTGCTCAAGCTCTTTGCTTGATAACTGAGAGGAAATAAATCTTTCTAGGTGTGGTGTAAACTCTGGAAAATGATACTGAGCTCAGGCTGGATCAGTAACACCTGAAATATCAGCAACATCAACATCCAGATCTCAGTGTCTCTGCCCAAGCTGCACTTGGAGCATCCCACAGGCATGAATTGGTCTCCTTTACCCTTCATCACATAGAAATCTGCCCCAAAACTGTGCTAAAAACATCAATCTATGGAAAAAAGGCCCCCAAAAAACCCTCTCAACCCTCCACTGAGGGAATCCTGTCCTCATACCCAACTCCTCCCCCAGGATCTGAGCTCCTGCCCCCAAAAGTGGCACAGCAGGAGGTGTCACTTACCTTTAATCTCCAACCACTGCTCATAATCTTCTTCCTCATCTTCATCTGGAGACTGAAAGACACTGAGGCGAGTGAGGACTGGGCTGTGTCTGGGCTGGGAGCAGCTCCTGGCCTGGTGTAACATGCTGCTCAGCACCTGCCCTGGCCTCTTCCCAAACAGCAGAGGCTTCTTCCCACCACTTGGTGCAGGAGAATTCCCAGAGTGATTGGTTGAGCTTGGGGGAGTTTCTTGGTAAAGAATTAGAGGGGAGAAAAAAATCATTCCTGAGCATCCTGGTATTGTTTCAAGATCAACTTAGGCACTAACAGAGATGTTGTTAGAGAGAGTTCAGGACATTGACTGGGAAAAGCTGCACATAATACATCAAAATTCAAGTTGTGATGATGTTTTAAACTCAAGCCACAAGGGAAATGCTTGACTTCACAGCACAGCAGAGTGGAAAGAAAGGGCAAATCTCCCTACAGCATCCCCAAACCAGACCTGAACCCCAACTCGAAGGGATAATCACTGCTCAGGGCTTAAGCAGCTCCCCCAGAGCAGGGCCCAGCAGGAGCCTGAAGCTCTCCTGGTGCTCAGGATGGACCTACCAGCACTTGACTTCTCCTTCTGCAGCTTGAGGAACTGCTGGAGGAAGCTGCCATCGTTCACAAACTTGTTGGACACTGAGGTTTCGTTCTCAGAGCCTTCATCACTGAGTGGAGCAAGAAAAGGAGGTGATGGTGCTCAGCAGCCTCCCCAGTCCCTCCCCCCAGTGGGTGTTTTGAACAGAGAACGAGAGAAATCCCAGTGATTGTTACGTTTTCCCACCTCTGTAAGGTCCATTCCAGCCCTAAATTCTCTGATTTTCTGAGACATGCCTGTTATATTGATGGCTAATAGATACATTTATCACAGATCATATTATACCTCAGCTAGGATAAGACACGATCTAAGACATCATATGTTCTTGCTACTGCCTGCAAAACCTGGTTCCAACCCTTCAAGTGCCTGAAAAACCTGATGACACCCATTGAAAGATGAGCATCCCAACCCTAACCACACTCAACCATTAATTACCCCTCGCTCACTAATTGCCTGGCAGCACAAAGCACCGTGAGGCTCATCCCTGCAGTTTTCCTGCCCAAACACCCCAGAAATCAGCCCCAAAGGCTCCACAGGGGAGGTCCAAACGTACTCCCCGAGCAGTGGCAGCTGCTGGATGCTGAGTGAGTTTCTCTTTCCCCGCCCCCCCCAGCCGAGCCTCGATCTCCTTCTTCTTCTGCGCGATCAGCTCCTCCTGCTGCAGGATGTTCACGTTCGTCCGCGACGACTTGGACTGAGCCACCCCGAACCAGCGGCTCGTCTTTCCTGAGGGGACAGAGGTCAGCACTGGGCACTGGTGGGAGAGTCCAGGTATCCCCTGGGCACACATATCCATCACTGGGCA